CTAAAAACGCCTTACTATACATGGTCATTTTTTAGCCTAATTTTTTTCGGCTAAAAATGCCTTCCTATACATGGTCTTTTTTTGGGCTAAAAACGCTTTACTATACATGGTCTTTTGCACTGACATTTTCAATGTCTGATATTTTATCATTTCTTTTATTGTAGAATTAATATATGTCACGGTGATGACAACAAGAGAGCAAACTTAACCGTTTCATGCATACAGATGGGTTTTAATGCTTCAAAAGACATACAAAGGAGTGGATGGCCACAGTCAACTTTGATTTATTGACATTTAGGGAAAAAAATGGTGGAGAAAAAAAAAAAAAGTTTTTTTTTTTTTTTTTTGGTCCATACACAGGTTTGACAAACAAACAGACCCCCCCCCCCCAAAAAAAAAACTGTTCAAAATAAATGAGAACAATGTCAGCTTCTGACAAGCAGGAAATGCATCCGGTTTTCAATTGTAAAGCAGAGGGAGAAATTGTTCAAGTCACATATTTGTTAATACATTTTTATTATTTTTCAAACATGATGAAACAACGGGGGAAAAGAAAACTTGTGGAAAGGGCCCTAGAAAGATATTAGTGGTCATAAGCGTCAAGGAGTGCAGAGGTTGAACAGTTATTCAAATAAAAACCTGTTTCAGAAGAAGAAAAAGCACCTTTCCCATTCGAAATGTCGACTTTAAAGCTTTTTTTTTTTGGCATAGTTTTTCATCAAGAACATCAACAACAAAAACACTCTTTGGATTCTTTCTTGTCAATCTCTGATTTGTTCCTGAAATTCAAGGCGGCGGCTGTGTTGAGAGGAGGGCAACAAACTGCGTAGGATGCAGCAAAGATCCAGGAGGGGGAAAAAAAGTGTAGCACCACAGAAGAGAAAAATAGCACCCAAGTTCTTCCGATTTTCAGGTGATGTCATCCGATGTTTATTTCTGTGAAGTTTGTTTGTCGCAAATCATTTGAACTTCTATTGTTCTTTCCTTTTATTTACATTCATACAAAGGAGAAGCCCAAATTTTTTTCCTCCCTCATTTGCTGTCTTTGTTTTACAATTTCCTCGTCGTTGATGATGATGATGATGATGATGTCATCGCCGCATCCGCCCAGTCGATTGCGTCACATGCACGTTTAGAAGCCAGTAGAGCAACAAAACAAACACCAGCATCAATATACAGAATGTACTTACAAACATAAAAATTATTTATATATTTATATATATTAAAAAAAAGGGGGGGTAAGGGGAAGGCAAATTATGCACAAAGAAAGCTCCCAACAATAAAGCGAAGATTGAGCGTGACAGGAAGGAGGAGCCAAAATGGAGTCCGCGGCGGCAGATGACACCCGTGTGATCATCCAGTTTCAAAACTCGCATGTGATGGAGAAGAAGGCACGCTGAGGTTTCAAGGTTATTTCCTCTCATCCTACAGAATTTTGCTTTGTGGAAAAAAAATTTCAAAACCCCAAACAAAAACAAAACATTTTTACAAATGCAATTGTCCTGGAAACAAAAAGAAGTGTTGTTTGTTTTTCTTTCAAATTTGCTCACTCTTTAGCCGGCAAAGCAGACGGGGCCCACTTCGAAGCCAAACTTCTGCGCGGGCCCGCCAAAGTCGTTGAACATGATGTCCACAAACGGCACTTGCTCCACCTTGGGAGTGTTGATCTCCAGCACCGTCCTGTCGTAGCCCTTTTTCAGCTGCGGGAGACAAAAAGCGGGAAAAGCCGACCTGAATCGCCAGCAAATCATTTGTGAATCACCGCCCCACGCCCCTCGTTCCGATGAAAAAGAAAGTAACGTCGGGGACCGGCGCGCCGGCTGCTTACCGCGCAGCCGTCCAGCACGGCGCGAATGTAGGGGTTGTTGTCGTACGACATCTCCTCGTCGTTGGAGCCCAGGAAGCGAATGGCCTTGTCGTAGTTGTCGCCGTCCTGGTCGTGCCAGGCCACCGACTGGTGGCAGCTGTACGTCAGATTCTGGCGGGCGGCGGCGCTCAGCAGGCGCATGAAGGTCATCTGCACCACGCCGATGGGGTTGCCCTCGGCGTCCACGTAGGAGAGCTGCAACCCAAAAGCAACAGCGCCACTTGCTTGGAGTCCGCGTCCGGCGCGGAAGCCAGAAAATTCGGCAGCTGCAGCGGCAATGAGCCCGACCGACTCTTTTTTGTTTGGTCCGCATTGTTGGTCAAACGGAGGGACGCGGTGGCCTTCGGATGACCGCTCTTGACAGAGACGCCGTCGGATGATCCGTCACGACCGGAAAGCCCGTTTTGGTGACGGAACATCAGAAGCGGCTTTGGTGCCAGGCGCTCGATCGATCTGGGCTCCTTTTAAGCGGCGTCCGTTGGTCTCCGGCACACGTGCTAAAACGCCGGCCATTTTGCTTCACGAACGTGGAATTTTGCCAGCTGTCAGCTGTGAAGGCTTGCAGCTGTTGCGCGATGACATTTTCCACTCCGTTTGTGAACCGGCATGCATCCGAAACACTTCCCGGGCCCGGGACTCGGGACTCGCATACCAACCGTGACTGAGAGATCCATCAAGGTCCACATTGCAGTTCGGTCTTTCCCGACACACTTAGCGGGCGCATGCGCAGTGGCAGCCGTTTGGTGGAGCAAAGCATCCGTTTCATTCACCGCCTTCCTTCCTTCCTTCATTCATTCGCATGCATCTCCTGAGCCACAGGAGCATCGCTAACACCGGAGCCGATCGGCAGTTTCAAAGCTACGCTCAAGTTCAGGTGGCCGGGAGTTGCTTGGGAAGGATTCGCGTGGGCCAAAAGGATCTCTTCAAATCTCGCTCTCGTCTGGAATTGCGTCTTCCCTTCAAACGGCTTGAAAGGGGTGGGGGGGGGCCTGAAGAGCTCCTGACGCAAAAGCTACCGAATGAATGAAAATGTCCAGGTTACGTTTTTTTTTTTAACTTGGTTAAGGGATTCGAAATTGACGAATTTTGGTTTGAAAATCAAGTTCAACGTACTCCAATGTAGCGTTTCAGCATGAACGAACACTGTGGCTCAAAGAGTTCCTCCCATGGTCATGCTCCCCCCCCTCCCCATACATTACCTCTTCATCATCCTCATAACAGCCTGAATAGATTTGAGTTTCCAAGAAGCCGCTGGGTGGCTGGTGAGCGAGCGTCCTGACCGGCCGGATACGCAACAAGCAAGTCGAATTCCGTTTTGAAGAAGCTCGCTGGGATGAAGGTTGTGTTCACGGTCGCTTGTGATGCTGCTCAAACAACGGCAAGCGTCAAAACGAGCCAACGGAGACCTCGTTTTTGCCCGGCTCGCTCGAGGGCCAAAGACACGGGCGGTAGCACGGGGGAGAATCCCACAAAGAGGCCGAATGCGGCTCCCATCTGGCGTGCTTTCTCAATTCAGAAAAAAGAAATCATCTCAGTTGGCTTTGTTTTGGGTTTTCTTTGGGTTTTTTTCGTCTCCCTCCAAACGGCACTAGCGGTGGTTTTTTTGTGCTCTTTCTCTTGTAATAGGACGTATGAAAGAGACTGTGCCCAAGAGGACACCCTGCCAATGTTCCGCAGCACACTAGTTGGGAATCTCCAACCCGAAGCCTCAAAGTCTTCCAGCTAACCCCAGAAAAACCGACCCCCGACGAACGCCCACCTCGGACTTGTCTGGACCGGAGAAGCAAACGTGTGAACACAACCTTCAAGTGAAAATCGACATCTTTTTTTTTTTTGGTCCTTCTTGATTTAGCAATGCAATAATTAGCGCTTCTTCCCGAGATGACGGCGGCAGGATATCCGGCCACTCGGGACTGAGGACAGGCTGGCGTCGGCGGGGCCGTCCGTCCCCAGTGCGCTTTTGGACCCAAGGAGCGTGCGTCTCATGCCAAGTCATGCACCACCACCGCCGCGAGTCAAGCCGTGCGCGCCGCGTTCAACGAACTGTCTCGGGACATTACTCCTGGGGAAAAAAAGGAGGGGCGTTGGGCTTTCAGCTGAAATCTCAGGATGGAGCTCAAAGTCCCGCTAACCTCGGCAGACGAGTTGGTGCTTGTGCAAATTTGCTTCATGTCAAATTTCAGCCGAAAGCCAAACCTCTCCTTTTTTTTGGGGGGCGGGAGGAGTAATGTACCGCAGTTCGTAGCCATGCACGGCCCGGGGGCCCGTCCGATCCCAGCCTGGGCCGCAGGCGGGGCGGGGGGGGGCCACTTACCAGGGAACCTCTCTTGTAGTGACTATACCATGTGCCTGGCGAGTCTTTGGGCCATTTTGCCATTTTGCTCTGTAAAAACCATATAAGAGCCATTCAGGGAAAGGCGGTGGAGAAAGGCCGGCTTACCAGTTTACCGCGTTTGAATTCACTGAACCAGGAGCCGGGGTTCTCCTTTAACCAAGAGGTGAGTCTAGCCTGGGGGGAGGAGGGGGGCACGGATCGACAGGAAGGAAAAATGGTTAGTCTTGCCCACGTGGGGGGGGGGTGATGAGTTCACCCCTTTTAAAGGAGTCGGGGGGGTCGCTGTCCACACCTGGCGGAACGGAGCCGAGCGAGCGCAAATTACCGCTGTCCCAAAATGCCACAGACGCGGAGATGAACCAAGACACCGCCGTGCTATTTCAAGACGGGCACAACTCGGCTCTTTTAACGCCGACGAAGCCGTCCACGGCGCTCCGTTAAAAGCGTCATCGGCGGCGAGCCATGCGACGGGAACTGAACCGTGGCGTGCGATGCGGGCGGGTGCATCGACCGCGGAAAAAGAAGTGCTGTTTAGAGCGGAAATGAGGTCGGGCGCGGAAAACGAAGAAAACTTGGATCTGTCTCGCAATGGAGAAATCGACAGCAGGAGCGGCGCTCCAGAAAGGAGACGAAAAGAATCTTGACGTGACGGAAATGAAGACGTGGAGATGGATGTCCGGAGTGATGACAATTGACAGAATGCTTCAGGGCGACCCCAAGTTCAAAGAAAGCGCAAGACTGAGAGGCTTTGGACAGAAACAGAAGAGAAGTGATGCAAAATGGGAACTAAGACAACCCCCCCCCCCCCCAAAAAAAAGGAAGACCCAAGAAACTGATGGAGAGGGTGCTTCCAATCAAATCCGAAAGAGAAAGAAGCGTGAGAGATCAAAGAAACCCTGAACAGGACGGCACCCGTGTGACTTTTATGCCTTCCCAAAACAAAACACAACCAAAAAAATTCACGCGCAATCTGCTCATGATGACAACCTTTTTTTTTTCTTAGCACGTGATCATTTTGGAGCCGACAACGTCAAACCATTGTCGAAGGCCGAGAATGGGAAATCTCCAAATGATTCCTGCGCGATGCCTTCTGAAAGGCCAAGATGTCAATCAATCAATCAAGAGCTCCGACTGGCTTGACCTGCTCTCCCTCTATTCACCCTTTTTCAGCCATTCGTCTTCCGCACAGGTGAAGGAATGAGCCTGTTTTCCCAAAGCAAGGAGAGCAAAGGACACACGTGCTTTGAAAAGGAAAAAGTCCTCGTCAAATCCCTCCTCAACCGACGTACGGATCTCATGTCACCCCACTGGATAGAATGCGCTCAACTAGGAACGGAAAGCCTGGACGGCGCCGGATGGATTTTCTTCCTCTTCCCCGTTTAGGCAAACCAAGCCCAAGCGCTCCATTGTGCGCTCGGGCTTGGGTACGGGACTTGGCAAGACTTCTCACGGCCGCCATGCGGCACTCCTGCCCGACGCGGCCGCAAACACTTGCTTACATGGTCTCCGCCTTATAGCGGCCTCTGTTCGGAAAGGAACAAAGGCAAGAGAATGTCCGAGCGAGGGATGGGTAACGTCACTCCCTCGCCCGCCGGGCCTCCTCCCCACACAGATGCTCCCCCCGCACGCTCACGGAGGCCGGCGACACGGGCGCCGCAGCGGAAATCGCACGGCTTCCCGCCAAAATCATCGCTCCGATGAGGAATCGGGTCGCAGCGTCCCTACTCACCCCTTCGGACTTCTTGTCAGGGAAGATGCAGCTCTCGCCGCCGGCTGTGAAGTTGCAGTAAACCTTGAAAGAGTCCCGGGAGCAGCCTTGGTTGGGATCAATCCAGTACTCGCCTGCGGAGAGGCAGAAGAGGCAACGGCTTTCAGTTCAGCCTCTTGGATTGCACCCGGTGCGTTATCGCGCTTCACCTGCCGCAGCCGCGCTATGTCACGGAAATCCACGCAACATTGGGGGGG